GTGTTACAAGAAAAAGGGTCCTTTGGTAGAGTGGGGAAAATACACAGAGATGTTTTTCTCAACAACAGACTTGTGTTAAGAGGTCTGAACAGTAAAATATACCTTTTCTCTGCTTTCATAGATTCTTTTTCCCTAATGTTAATAAATTGAAGTCTTGTTTACTGTATCCCTTCCCAATCCTACCTTTGGAATCCAAAGTGTCCTTCTTAATTCTCAGGCCAAGCACTAGAGAAGAGAAAAACAGATGAACCTCCCCATCCATCCAAAATGAGGAAACAATCTGATGTCTGGGTGGAGGAAAAAGGAATGAAGAGAATCATGAGCTGTGAAGTTGGGGAGAAGAGCAAAGGTCCTAAGTAAGATTTCCTTTTACAAATCCAAGGTGAATCCTATGGACTTGCAAACTGTTTTATATATTTTCTGGACTCAGTGTGAGTGTCTTTGGTTAAAGTAGGATTTTATCAGTAATGGACTGAACCATACTTAACATCCAAACCTTTATAGTAAGGTCAGAGATTAAAGAAAAAATATGCACCAACTTTTCTTCCCCCTAAAACAAGATTAATTGCAATATGAGCAAACAGGGATAAAAACTATTCACAAGATTTCTGGAAATTTTACAGTAAATATTTAATTTGCTAGTTAATATATAACTACTTTATTTCAGGTGGGACCAACCCCTGGAGAAGGACATCATGTTTGGTAAACTGGAGGGTTAGTGAGGAAGACAAAGACCCCCAATGAGGTGCATTGGCCCAGTGACATAAGCAATGGACTTATTGTGAGGTTGGCACACTTGCAAGCAGGATTTTGTCCTGTTGTACATAGGGTCAGTATGAATCAGTACCTAACAACAACAACATACAAGTATTTTTAGATAAAGCTCTGCAAAGCTGTGAACTTTCTAAAAATTAAGGCTTAATAATTAAATGGTCAATAATAGTCCCAATTTATCTGTTTTTAACTTAGTCATATTAGAAGCTCATGTATACAGCATTTAGAAAGAATTGTGTGGGTATTTGCTGACTTAGTAATAATGACCCCAAACAGTGAATTTGACACATTTGTAATGGTTCAATGGTTTAATGATAATAATCTGGCTACAGGTTAACTAGATATAACAGGCAAACAATTTATATAAATTACTCATAATAATTACACTTCAATACAAAGAAAAACAAGAATTTTCTTCTGTTTTATTTCTGTTCCTGTTTTATATTGACAATTTTCCCTAATACTAAACAGGGTCATTTGTCTTTTTCACCCATTCTTATATTGGCACACATGTTATATTAAATCTATGCATATTAATGAGTCAGCACTGGGTTGTTAACAAAAGGTTGGCAGTTTGAACTCACCAGTCACTCTGTGGGAGAGAGACTTTGGTAGTTTGCTTCCATAAGGTTTACAGCTTTGGAAACACTATGGGCAATTCTACACTGTCATATAAGGTCACTATGAGTCCGAAGTATACTAGGCCTGGTGCTGTAGGAAAATCACCGAACTGCTAACCACAAGGTGGATGTTTCAAACCCACCAGCTGCTCCTCAGAAACCTTGTAAAAGGTCAATGTAAGTTGAACCTGATTTGATGACATGTAAAAAGAACATGAATTAGAATCAACTCCATGACAGTGGGTTGTTGGATCAGTATCTTAAAAGATCCATCAGCTGGAGCTCTCCGGTTTCCAAAAGTTAAAGCCCCCAGTATGTGAAATACATTAGGTTTCTTGACATTGATTTCTTTCTATTATAGGGTTTAATGGTTAAGCACATGAAAACTGGGGGCAGAAAAAAAACATGCTCACCATAAGGCTGTGATTGGATTTGGGGAATCTCAGATGTCAAAAAGAGAGTAAGCAGGCATTGTGTTAGCTTCTAAATCCAGACATTTGTCAGCAAGAGGAGAAGACTGAAGACAAAATGTTGTTGTGAAGTGCCATTGAATCAGTTCCAACCCATAGTGACCCTGTATAGGGTTTCCAAGGAGCAGCTTGGGTTTAAATAAGATTTAGGAGAAATGTGGGAACGCCACTGATTTTATTGACTCAGCTCTCTTGAAATTAATCTAAAGTATGGTACAATTTCACGGATTTACAGTTGATTCTCATTCCCATCAACCAAATTCTTCTCAAACACCATAACTCAAATTCATCAATTCTTCTATGGTCTTCCTTACTAATAGTCCAACTTGCACATGTATATAAGGCTTTTTAAAATACGATAGCTTGGGTCAGGTGCACTTTAGACTTCAAACTAGCATATTTGCTCTTGCGCACTTTAAAGAGGTCTTGTATAGCAGATTTGTCTAATGCAATACATCATTTGATTTCTTGACTGTTACTTCCATGCAGTTGATGGTAGATCCAAGCAAAATGAAGTCTTTGAAAACGTCAATCTTTTTCTCCATTTATCATGATGTTATTTATTGGTTTAGTTATGAGGATTTTTGCTTGCTTTACATTGACATGCAAGTCAGACCGAAGGCTGTGTTCTTTGATCTTCATCAGTAAGTATTTTAAGTCTTCTTGCTTTTGGCAAGCAATGTTGTGTCACCTGCATATTGCAGGTTAGTAATGAATCTGTATCCAATCTTGATGCCACATTCTTCTCATATAATCCAGCTTCTCAGATTATGTGCTCATCATACAATTGAATAAGTATAGTGAAAAAAATACAAGCCTGGCACACACCTCTCCTGATTTTGAACCACTCAGTGTTTCCCTTGTTCAAATGACTGCCTCTTCATACATTTTAGTTATGGTGTTACAGATGAATATTAAAGGTACCATGGGCTGCCAGAAGCACAAACAAATCTGTATTGGAAGAAATGTTCCCTAGAACTCAAGATGGCCAGACTTCGTCTCGCATACGTTGGTCATATTATCAAGCGGGACCAATTCCTGGAGAAGGATATTATGCTTGGTGAAGTGGAAGGTCAGCCAAAAAGAGTGAGATCCCCAACAAGATGGATTGGCACCATGACAGGAACAATGAGCTCCATCATAGCAGCAATTGTGAGGATTGTGCAGGACTGGGTGTGTGGTGTTTTATTCTGTTGTACATAGAGTCATTATGGGTTGGAGTAGGTTTAATAGCACCTTTAGACTAGTTATCACCAAGTAAATTCTGTTGTATGGTGACCCTATGCATGTAAAACTGTTTCTTTAGGTCACCAGACCTTTCATCCAAAGTACCTCTGAGTAGACTTGAACTGCTAGCCTTTCAGTTAACGGTCACAGTTATTGGTGCTTAATTGTCTACATCATTCAGTGACTCAAAAAGGCTTTGCATAATCTTTCAGTCCCTACTGAATATAGACCCCAAACCAAATCCACCAGCATGAGTTGATTCTGACTTATAGCAACGATATATAGGGTTTCAGAGACTGTAAATCTTTAAGGGAGCAGATAGCCTCATTTTTCTCCCATGGAACAGCTGGTAAGTTTGAAACATCACCCTAGTTGGTTAGCAGCACAACACTTATTCCTCAGAGCCACCAGGATCCTTAGCATATATTATTGTTATGTTGTAGTTGTTAAGTGCTTTCATGTTGGTTCCCACTCATAACAACCCTGTATAGGGTTTCCAAGGAGTGACTGCTGAATTTGAACCACCGACCTTGTGGTTCAAACTGACTTTGCAGTTCAAACTGACCTTGTGGTCCAGTGCATTATCTCATAGTGCCATACTAGGGGACCCCTTAATGAATATAGCAAGATTAAAATGTAAAATAGAAATATTAAAATATGAGATATAACTATTAAAATATAAATGCATGAGATAGTTACATTGATGTAAACATATTACAGTCAATCCATAAGTGAAAATTCCAGAAACCTTCTTCTTTTGATTAAACAAACTAGGTTAAAAAACAAAAAAAAGGGCCTGAAAGTTGGTGGGCAAAGTTGGGAGCAAGTCTCAGAAATTAAAAAGGAACAGAAAGGTAAATCTTGAAATAGCTATGATAATGATTTTGGAACTGGAAGGTACTTTGCAATACAAAGTGCTTTCCCATTCATGCATCATTTTGTTCTCACAGCAATTTCATGAAGTATGAGATAGCCCCTTCAGCTTACAGGATTGAATAGAGGATTCAAGGTGTTAAAAGCCTTTTCAGTCATCAAATCATTCATAGCTCATAGGCCTATGTTGTTGTTGTTGTTATGTGCCATGGAGTCAGTTCCAACTCATAGCGACCCTGCACATGGTTTCCAAGGCTGTAAATCTTTACGGGAGTAGAAAGCCTCATCTTTCTCCTGCGGAACAGCTGGTAGTTTCGAACTGCTGACCCTGAGGTTAGCAGTCTAATTCGTAATCACTAAACTCAAACCCAGCTCTGTTGTTGTTGTTGTAAAGTGCCATCAAGTTAGTTCTGACACATAGTGATCCTGTACAGGGTTTCCAAGCAGCGGCTGGTGAGTTTGAACCGCCTACCCTGAAGTTCAAACAACCTTGCATTCCAGTGCATTATCCCACAGCACCACACCAGGAGTCCTCAAAACCAGCTCTGTTGTTGTTGTTAGGTACCGTGGAGTCGGTTCCGACGCATAGCGATCCTGTACAGGGTTTCCGAGGCTGTAAATCTTTACCGGAGCAGAAAGCCTCATCTTTCTCCCGCGCGGAGCAGCTGGTAGTTTTGAACCCGATTAGTAACCACTATGTTACCAAGTCTCATTAAATCTAGCACATGGTTGCCTATTCAACTTCTTTGACTTTGTTTTATGGCACAGATCTCATTTGTGACTATATCACTTAACTTTGTGCACTAATAATTTCATTGTGTAAAACTATCACAATTACTAAAAAAAGAAGTTATCAATTTAAAATTAATTTCCTGTCCAAGTATGCAACATAGAAAGACACATTACATTGACTATATATGAGGAAAACTGACAGCCAAGAACATTTATTCTTATACAATATTTAGATGAAAAGCATGGTCTTTATAACTTACAAGGGTTATTTACTAATTTTTCAAAATTTTATTTTCATGAATAATGTAATTTTTATGGGGAAATGATTTTTTCCTTTTTGTCATTTTAAGAATTGAAAAAAACAAAATAATTTTCTCTTCTGATTCAAATGGGAATGGCATCATGAAAGTATCATCACAATCAATGTCCACTGCGTAAAGCAGAATTCTCAGAAAGTTCAGAACTAAACAGGGCAAGATGTCGTTTGTGATTTTTCTTCTCCTCTGGTTGTTCACACAATTTGACTTCAATGTTGCCATCACTGAAAGCTTCTCCTTTGGTCTCCTCTACTGGGTTCCTTCTTCCAGAAAACTTTCCTTTCTTCTTCTGCAGCATTGTAATTCCTAAATTGCCACGCCTTTGTGCTGGAGATAAGGATTCCTTGATTATGCAGTAACAAACTGCAGTCAGAAAGTTTTTTTTGAAATTTTCATTCATAAATGCATAAACAATGGGATTGCAGATAGAATTGGAAAATCCAATGATTTGCACAATAGCAAAAATCATCTTGATTGTGACATCATCATATTCTTTTTCCAAATTACCTGAAATGGAATAATACTTTAGAATGCATATTTGCTTTAATAAGCAAGAACGTAAAATGGCTGTCTTATCATATATCTTTATCTAAGACTTACACTGGAACAAGTTGTTAAAGATACGCATAAAGAAGCATCTGGTATGTAGATAAAAATAACTTCTGTGATGAGTTTTCCTTCTCAAAGAACCAGAGCTCACAATTGGACGGCTGGGTGCCTGGAGTTTCCATGGCATCTCAACTTGGTAACTCCAAGCTTCGTGTAAATTGGCTGAAGCAGTTGCTTTAAAATGTTCATATGTGATATAATCATATTGAGAACCATATTAAGTGCCTGTGTATCAGAAAGAATACACTTCTGGTCTGACTTAAATTCTAGGTATTTTTTAATTCATATGATTTAAGTAAAGTATCTAAATAAGGGAACCTTCCCAAGAGGATGTCACATTTCTACCAATTTATAAATGAGCATGAGAAGTCAGAAGGAAAAACACAAGAGAAGAATCTCAAAATCGCTCTCTTCTGCAGTTATTAAAGCTTTAGTCATAGACATACAGAATTACATATCATGTAATCTGGTCTTCTTAAAAATGTGAAAGAAATTTTGAATGTTTGATTGCCTAAGTGAATAGCAATAAATTTCATTAATTCTTTGTGCACAGTAGCAGGAAATGAAGGAGAACTTCCATTAAATAAGAATGACACTCACTGTATTCGATCATCATGTGGACAATGTGGAAAGGTGCCCAGCACACAGTGAAGAGAGCCACCACAGTCACCATCATAATGACAGCTCGTTTCTTCTTTCTGGATCCATAAAAAGATATATTCGATTGATTCGTTTCTCCTTGGAAAATGTGTCACATTGATAACAGACCTATTAAATCAATTTTAAGCCTAGACCTTCCAATTTTGAAAATATTCATACAATTCATGATAGATTGACTGTAGGCTGATTATCATTTTTCCGCCACATCCTAATAGAGTTCTCAGGGAGTCCTGGTGTGGCGCTGTGGGTTAATGCACAGACTGCAAAGCCATTTGAACTGCAAGGTTGGAGGTTCAAGCTCACCAGTTGCTCCTCAGAAACGTATATACAGGGTGGTTATGGGTTATGGATCAGAACTGAGGGCACTTAACAACAACAATAGAGTTCTCATATTTACACATCTCATAAGATGTTACAAGATAACAAAAAAGGAAAGAAAATTTCTCACAATAAGTCACCTGGAAAGCACTATACTGAACAAAATAATAGTAGACAATGTTTACTAAGTGCTCATTATGGGTCTGACAATGTGCCAAATGTTTACTGTAGACTTGGTAGTTAATCTTCCCAACAAGCCATTTGGCAGATGTATAAACTGAGGTACAGGAAAGATTAAGCAATATGCAAAATCAGATGCCTAGTTAGGAATGTAGTTTGGATTTAAAGTTAGGAAGTCTCACTAACTCCAGTTCTTATTCACTTTACACTGAAAGACATTTATGCTTTCAATAGCAAAACATCAATATTTATGTAATATGGTAAGTAAGCCTGAAGGATAAAATTTAAAATGCAGTCCTTTATATCTATATAATATGATTATCCAAGATTCTACCTCGTTTTCTTCATGAGTCCTGTGATGAAGATTAGCATTTGCAAGAGAGCTACATTTTTGTAGTAGGTTTTACCAAAATAGTCACACTCATCTTTTATTTCAACATAGTAGAAGTGGGAGCATAAGTCTGTAATAAAAACCAAGATGCTAAATAGTTCAGGGGCTCCCAAGTGTCATGAGGGAGAACTTTTTTATACAAACAAGTCACTAGAGGTCGCTGCACACTTGAAAGAAAATTAAGAATATTATCAAATCTAAGCTTCTCTAAATAAGATTTTGCTTGGTTTTAAATAATCATTGAGTGTAGACTATAAAAGAAACTTTATTAGCTATAAGTACTATACAACTAAACTTCGTTTTGAAGTACCTATAAATGAATAACAACATCATAGCAAACATCTTAGTAAATAATAAAACATATGATTAATATGAGTATACTTTAAAATAAACATACTCTGCTTTCAAAAGGGTTATCACACATATCTCCTAATGCCTATCAAGCCTGGATAGGAAAAAGTAAGGACAGGTGTAACTTTGCTTTTTTTACATGTGAGAAAAACAGGGCCCTTGGGAGTAGCAGACACATCCACATTATGTGTCTGTGTGGGACAGAGGGAGGAGAGTACTCACAGGAAACCACATTCTGACACTAGCTCATAGATCTTCCTACCAGGTCATATTTATATAAAGGAGAAAAAATAAAAGTTTCATAAATTCCAGAGAATCACTTTTGATTAGGGAGCTAGTGGTTTTGTTTTTGTTTACCTGCCACACATATAAATTCAAAAATTTTGCCCCGCATTTACTGTAATGAGTCAGAATCAACTTCATGGCAGTAGGTGTTTTTTGTTTGTTTGTTTGTTTTTTGTTAAGTGTAAACTAAACATGAATAGTTTGACTGAGTTAGCAGGGACATCTGGAATCCCTTGCTAATGTAACTTTCAGAATATCAAACTCAATTTTAAACAGGTGAATATTTATTGAACAGACCTGGCTATTTTTGACATTTCTTTTCCATGAATCGTTTGAAGCACTGAACCATCTCCCACTCTTTTTTTGATCCAAAGTTCATAACCAATTTTACTATACAGGATCAGCATCACCATAAGAGGCAGAAGGAAGAGGATAACAAGAATGAAAGTTGTGTAGATTTTCTGGTGCACAGGGCTGGTCCACTCCTCCAAGCAGCAGACATGCTCTTTTTCATATAAGAAGTCATATTTAACCTTTAACATAAGAATAGTTTGATTAAAAAAAATGGGTACTCAGAATCAAAAGAACAAAATAGAGTCAAGTATTATAATACACCACTCGTCTGTTAGTTTGTCTTACTGAAGTGGCTTGCATGTTGTTTTGATGCTGGAAGTTTTGCCACTGCTATTGGAAATATCAGCAGGGTCACCCTTGATTGGTAGATTTCAATAGAGCTTCCAGACTACAGACTGGAAACAAGGACACAGTAATTGCTTTTGGAAAATTTGGCCAGGGAAAACCTCATGGATAACACTGCACCATGGATAAATGTCTGGTATAGTGCTAAATATGATGGTTTCAGGTTTGAATACACTCAAAATATCACTGGGGATGACCCGTCTCCTTGAAATAGAGTCTACCTTAATGCCATAGATAGAGTAAAGCTTTCATTACCTTCATTTGTGGATGTGGCAGGATTCAAAATGGGAAGAAACAGCTGCAAACATTCATGAATAATTAGAACATGGAACATACAAATGTGAATCAGGGCAAACTAAGTAGTTGGAAATGAAATGGAATGCTTTAAAATCATTATTGCAGATATAAGTGAATTGAAATGGACTTGTACTGGTCATTTTAATTCAACAATCATATGGCATACTATGCTAAGAATGAGAAATTGAAGAGAAATGATGTCTCATTCATCATCAAAAAGAACATTTCAAGTTCTTTCCTGAAGTACAATGATGTCAGTGATGTGATAATATCTATACACCTACAATTATTCAAATTTATGCACAATATTAAAACTAAAGATGAAGAAATTCACCAGCTTCTATAGTCTAAATTAATGAAACTTGCAATCAAGATGTATTGATAATTAATGATGTTTGGAATGGAAACCATTGGTAGCTGGGAAATATGATCTTGCTGGATGTGGGAAATAGCATGATACAGTTTTGCAACACCAATGACTTATTCGTTAGAGATACGTTTTATAAGCATGTGGACCTCACCAGATGTAATACATAATAATCACATAGACTAAATCTGTTGAAAGAGATGATGGAGAAACTCAATGCCACCAATCAGAACAGGGCTATGGGATACTTGCACAATAGACCATCAATAATTCATACACAAGTTCAATTTGAAGTTGAAGGAAATTCAAACAAGTTCATAAGACCAAAAATACAACCTGAGTATATGCCACCTGAATTTGTGACCCTCTTAAGAACAGATTTGACACTTTGAACATTAACACCGTATGACATTAAATACACCATACATGAAGAAAGCAAATGGTTATTAAAAAGAGAAACAAAAAGACCAAAATAGATGCCAGAAAAGACACTGAAAGTTACTTTTGAACATAAAGTATATAAAACAAATGGAAGAAAAGATAAAATAAAATAGCCTAACAGAATTCAAAGGTGGTTCAAAAGCACAAAGTGAAGTATTATAGAGATATGTGCAAAGAACTGGAGTTGGAAAAGCAAAAGGAAGGAACATGATCAGCATTTTTAAGACTGAAATAATGGAATTAAAAATTCAAGTCTTGAGTTGCAATATGGAAGACCTCTGTACACAGAAAATTGGCCAATTCAGGAACCATCAAAAGAAGATGGAAGGAGTATGCAGAGTCACTGTACCAAAAGCACTGTTGATATTCAATCATTTCACGAGATAGCATATGATGAAGAACAAATTGTATGAAGGAAGAAGTACAAGCTACATTAAAGGGAAAAACAAGGATCCAAGAAGTGATGGGATACCAACTAAGATGTTTCAACAAACGAATGTAATACTGGAACCCCTCACTTGTCTACGACAAGAGATTTGAAAAAGAGTCACTTGGCCAACCATTTAGAAGGGATCCATAGTTATACCTAATGGAAAGAAAGGGGATCCAGAAGAGTGAAGAAAAGAATACTAATATCATAAACAAATAGTGAAAAGCTAGACAGACATTCAGGCTGGACTCAGAAGAGGATATACAATGAAGGATATCATTATTGATGTTAGATGAATCCTCTTTGGAAACAGGGAACACCAAAAAGATGATTATCTTTATTTCATTGATAATGCAAAGGCATTCCACTATGTGAATCAAAATAAATTACGGATAACATTGCAAAGACTGGGAATTCCAGAACACTTAAATTGTGTTCATGAGGAATGTGCACAAGAGTGTGACCAAGAGGCAGTTGTTTGAACTGAGCGAGGAGATACTGCATGGCTTAAAATTAGGAAAGGTGTATATACTAGAGTTGTATCTTTTTATCAATCTCTATGCTGAGCAAACAATCAGGGACGGTGGGCTATAATAACATAGCATCAGGATTTGAGGAAGATTCATTAACAACCTGTGATATGCAGATGACACAACTGTTCTGAAAATGAAGAGGACCAGATACACATATAGATAAAGATAAAAAATTAAGTATATCTTACACTTTAACTAAAGCAAGAAAACAAAATGCTCATAACTAAACCAGTAAGCAATCATTATATACTGAGAAAACATTAAAGTTGTCAAGGATTTCTTTTATTTGAATTCACAATAAGTTGTTCATGGAAACAGCAGTCAAGATGTTAAATCATGTACTGCATTGGGCAAATAAATTGTCTGCAAAAGACCTATTTAAAGTTTCTAAAAGCAAAAAATGTCTCCTTGAGGACATAAGCCATGATATTTTCTATAGTCTCATATATATGCCAAAGCTGGACAATGAATAAGGAAAACCATAAAAGAATTGATGCATTTGAATTATGGTGTTGGCAAAGAATATTGAGTATCCTGGGCTGCCAGATGAACAAATCATGCTTGAAAGAAGCAAAGTCAGACTACTCTTTCGGATGGTGAGATCAGTCATATTAAATCAGAGAGGTAGTAAAAAAAAAAAAAAAAAGACAACTCTGAAGGAAATGGATTAACACAGTGGTTGCAACAATGTGCCAAACATAAAAACTGTTATGAGGACGGTGCAGGACAAAGCAGTGTTCTTATACTTAGGGTAGCTATGAGTTGGTACTGACTCAAGGGCACCTGACAACAACAGCATGATTGTAATGCAGTACGTTTAAGTCTCTAAAAATTTGCCACTAATATTCATTTAAAAGCAATATAATGTTAAATTGTTCTTTTGTTAAAAGCATGTTGTTGTTGTTGTTGTTGTTTTTAACTGCTTGAGTTCTTAAGAATTCACATTTTATTTTTCTCTCTTCAGTTTCATTTTTATCTTTCTCAGCTTCTATTTTCCACTATAGTTACAAGTTTTCAGTTGGATAAAGAGTACTACAATTGTCAAAGTATGCTTGAAAAAAATATTTTGTACTGCATTCTAGCTAGCTCAATGGTAAATCATTTGGCTTCCTCAATTGTTAAAGAGGTAAATTTTGGCAAAGTGTCAGACTTATTTCGATTGAGAAGTACTGAAAGCACATATTTTGTCACTGCTCTTTTGTACTGCAATAATCACATTGCTTGGAAAGATATAAAAAGACAACAGATAACTTTTATATTGTGACACAAATGAAAACCTGGAATTGAATTATTATTATCTTAGAAGTAGTCAAATTCATCTACAAGCTCTTGAGTTATATATTTTATGGAAAAGTGATGCTGATTTATTTATACTATTTCTGACAGACTAGTTTTCATATGAATTCAAAAACAACCATTAATAACAGTGTTAATAATAATAGCACAGATACAATTGTTGTTGGGTGCCATCACAAAAACATCAATAAGAATTTATTTCAAAATCAAATTAAATCTTTATGTGTATCCACATCTCATTTATTTCTGTAACATAAATAAAAGTAAGAGAATTTATCAAAATTATTGTCCATCACTTATCTGTCAGTGTATCACAATATGGTTTCTTACATGTTGCTGTGATGCTGGAAGCTTTGCCATAAGTATTTTAATTATTAGCAGAGTCACACATAATGGACAAGTTTTAGCTAAGCTTCTAGACTAAGACAGACTAGAAAGGAGGAGAGGTGGACTACTTTTGAATGATTAGTCACTGAAAACCTTAGTAGCAGGACATTGTCAAATATAATGGCAGAAGAAGAAAATATTATGAATAACATCAGAATATTATTAGATATAGTGCTAGAAGATGAGCCTCTCAGGTTAAAAGGCTCTCAAAATACCACTGGAGAACAGTTGTCTCCTCAAAGTAGAGTTGACAGTGATGATGCAAATAGAGTAAAATTTCAGGACCTCAATTTGCTGATGGAGCACAGCTCAAAATGGGGAGAAAGAGCAGCAAGAAACATCAATAATCTAGGAAATTGGAAGATGTCAAAAAAAAAAAAAAAAAAAAAAAAAAAGGACCGCATAAAGATCTATATCCTAGGAATCAGTAAGCTGGTGTGGACTGACTTTGAACAGTTTGAATCAGAAAATCATATGCTTTACTGTGTCAGTAAAATTGAAGAGGTATTGAATCCCATTCATCATCAAAAGGAATATTCAAAGATCTATCTTGAAGTACAGCACTCTCTGTAATAGGACAATAACCATAGGCTAACAAGGAAGATGAATTAATATCACTATTATCCAATTTTACAAATCAACCACTAAAGCCAGTGATGATCAAATTGAAGAATTCTACCCACTTCTTGAATCTGAAATTGATTAAACATATAATCAAGATGTGTTGATAATTACTGGTGATTGGAATGCTAAGGTTAGAAACAAAAGAAAGGATCAGTAGTTGGAAAATATGGCCTTGGTGATAGAAAAGATGCTGGAAAGTGCAGAGTTTTGCAAAAGCAATGACACATTCATTGCAAACATCTTATTTAAATAACATAAAAGATGAGGGTACACAAGGACTTCACCAGATGGAATACAAAGAAATAAAATTGACTACATCTGTGTGAAGAGCAGTGGAAAAGCTCCATATCATCTTCCAAAACAAGGCCAAGAACAGACTGTGGAACAAAACATCAATTGCTCATATGTAAGTTCAGGTTGACGCTGAAGAGAATTAAAACCAGTCCACAAGAACCAAAA